CCAGGCGTTAGTCAGAACTAGAGTCGCCTTCATCGCGGTGAGCGAGCACCGAAACAAACGACGCCTCTCTGGCCACACTCCGAGATGGGGCCGATGCACAGGGCAAATCAAGGAGGGGGGGGGGGAGGAGGAGAAGGACGGCCCTGAAAAAGAAAACGAGAGGCTTCATCGTCAGCCTCCCAATCCTGCAGCAAAGCAGGCTCGGACACAGTCGCTTCCCCCCCCGCTCCCCGCTCCACCCCGTCCCCACGGTCCTCGGCGGCGGTGGCGGGGCGCGGAGAGCCGTGCTCCTGCGCCGCGGCGGCACCTGCAGCGCCGACCTGATGGCCTCCTCCCTTCTGCGCCCACGGCCCTCTCTCGACCGAGACTCCTGGACGCTTTGGATGGAGGCCTTTACAGATCGGGTGCCAACTGTTGTACTTCTTAGATCTGGTCGGGCCAGTGCAAACATCCGCAAGGCCCGAAGCCCGACCATGTGACGAGTACGAATAACATTTGGTGCAAATCACCAAGGAAGAATTGTCTGAGCAGGCTAGCGTCAAACACCGATGTCCCCGCGCCTCCAAAGCCTGCGCCTCCAGCCCACGAACGGGAGTGCATTTAGAGGGGGGAGGCGGGGGACCGTGGGTAGACAGACGGCTGACTTTCGCACAAACCGAACACTTCCAAAAGCCCGAGACGGACCCAAGCTCAACAATCTGGATGGGCTGCCACTCGCAACGCACAGAAGAAACCACCTGGGGGGGGTCCTTTGGCGGCTGAATCCACACGACGTCTTGGAGGTCTAATTTGGGCCACAACGGCATCAACTTTGCAGACAGCGACGCCACGGCCCTAGAAAACTTAATGTCGAGATCGAGCCTACACCTGTCATCCTCCGACGGCCGTGGGTGCCCAAGGCACCCCTCCCCCGCAGAAGCACTTTTAGCTCCTACGTCGGCATGGTGGTTTCCAAAACGGCACATCTTATCATGATTATCGGTCCACTCATCCAAAGAAAGATGAGCTTTCACTTTGTTCAAAGAGCGGACCTTCCAGAAATCAGAGAGGAGGGAGAGGGAGAACCCACTATAACAGCGCTTAGGGGACAGCTGGTCAATCTGAGGGCGACCGAAGTGGTCTTTGACCAGCTGAGCATCAGTATAAAAATCCGAAGGTCCTCCTGAGAAAAGTTATTGCTTGGCAAATCGCAGCGAACTCTCCAGCAGGGGCAGTCTGGGGGTAGCACGGGGGGACGGGGCCGTAGAGCCTCCCCAAGAGGTCCCCCTGGTCGTCTACCGCCACAAAACACCAGCCTGCCCTGCTGAACTCGCGAACTACATGTTTGCACGTGCTACCGTCAGTGAAAATGTTGTTCGTGAACGGAAATTGGCCTACCTCCTGGGGACAATCCTCCCTGGCCCAGAAAGTACCAGACGACTCGGCCGCGGGACCAGGAAAATAATCCCCAGGATGGGCAAAAGCTCCAAAACAGGATCGAATCGAATTGGGCTCCTCCAGAGCCTTGCATACAAGCTCGGGAGTAACCAAACTGGAACGGAGCTCGACAACCTCCTGGCACCCGCAGACCCAGAGTCGATGGTGGAGCGTGTCGGGGGCTGAGCCGCAGAGGTGGCACGTGGGGTCTATCTGGTATCCCAATCGAACAGCTTTAGAACGAGTCCACACTGCGTCCGTAGCAACAGCCCGAATACAACCTTTCTCGAGCGCCGAATATTTTTTGCGGCGGAGCTCGGACTTCACCACATCAAAGCAAAGACGATGAGGCACATCCCATTTAGCACCAGCTTCCCATTCGAGAATCCTGAAGACGGCCCCACGGAGATGCTGCTTGACAAGCTGGGGGGACATGAGGGTCATGGAAAGCTCGATCCCCTTGTCAGTGACGAAAGTGGCGAAGTCCCTCATCGTCCACGAGATCCTCTCCAAGGACTTGCGCATGGCGGCCACAGGGCCACCTACCGCCCTCCACGAGGGGGGTTCCTGAAGAAAAACTCCTTCCCAAGCTTGCCTCAGCTCCCTGAAAGGAATCGAGCCTTCAAAGGCCCTAACCTGAGAGCACCACACTTCCTTGTGCCACCGCAAGATCGGGGAGACGGCCCCAACCCAAGCAGGGTCGTCCTCGAGATGGGAAAGCACAGTCAGGGAGCGTTGGCCAGCTGAAGGCTTTATAGTCCTGGCCGCCGCACGACGGATGAGCAACAACTCGTAGTCTGTAACCCCATCTAACCTCGCTGCCATACAGCAAGCCAGGGAGCGGTCCTGCAGTGAAAACTCGCAAAGTTCTCCTGGAACCGAGGGTCTTACGAAGTTTAGCCACACGGCCCGTGCGTTTGATGAAAAGACGCCTCCTAATCACGAGCTTTTTGTTGCGACCCTGGGCCCGAGAACTCTTCCCCACCGTGTCGTCAACCCCCAGGTTAACAGCACTGGAAGTAATGGGTCCCGTGAGCTCAACTCCCAGTTTGGCCTGAATGGCCCTGCCAAGCTTGGCCGAGGAACAAATGAGACTGGATTTGTCAGCCGCCACCTGCGCACCAATGCCATCAACAATGGCTGCGTGGAGCTGGGGCGCGCCTTCCGTGATGGCGTCCACAACAAAATTGAAACTGCCGACAGCACTGAGACCAGAATCGTCGATGTAGAGCGCCAGTTGAGCACCCTGCCGTAACCTAACAGAATCGAGCGACTCCACAGCGTTAACCCTGATCAGGGTCGTGGCCAACGAACACCCCGCGATGATGCCCGAAGAAGCGTACCAAGGACCGTCGATGCAGCCACCAAGGGAAAGAAACCTCGGGGCCCTGTAGGCCCTCACGGCCAACTTGGCCATGGCAACCGGGAAACCCAATCTCAAGCACCGATCTAGGAGTCGCTCGAGATCAATGAGCTCGCAGTATTTAAACATGTCCTGCAGGAGGGTAGCCGCGTGTAAGTTGTGAGTGGCCCCACTCTCGCTGCGGACGCTTTGCCGCCACACAACGTCGGACGCTCCCTGGTACTTGCCCGCAGCAAAATAGGGACGAGCGTGCGCCCCCTCCCAGCTCTCGGCAAGGCACCGCCGCGCTTTCCCCCAGATGCGGTAGGGACCCATGAAAATACCAATAGGGCGGAACCCTCCAGCAGGTTTCCCCAGGAGCGCCAACACCGTGGCATCGAGCTGAAAAGGCAACATGCTGGAGATTTCCATGACCTGCAGGATCCTACACAGCGCCGTGACCCCAGGAAGGGAAATCATACTGAAGTGTTTCATGTGGAAACCGTCCACACCCACCGCCGAATTCACCTTGTAGCTTCTCGAAAGACGAAACAACTCGTTGGGGTCCAAAGGGGGGAGCGCAGGGGCAGGAACGAAGTCGGCAATAGGTCCCAACTCAAACGGGGAGTCAAACGCGCGCCACAAATGGGTAAACTTGTTGCGTTCAGCCTCGAGCAGGGACCTGGGGTCACTAACCACACAGCCGTTGGCCGAGAGAGTGGAAGTAGGTTTCCAGGGCTTGGGTTCAGAAGTGACCATGTGCGCTCGCTTGGCCCCCTGATCAATGTTCTCTCTCAGCCAACTACGCCAGGAAGCTAAACTGCGGTCCCTAGCGCTGGCTTCAGCCTGCGCGACCAAATCGGAGACCAAGAGATACAGATCGAGAAAGTCATGTTCGAGCTCTCCGCTCGAGTTCAAATCAGCACGGTTGATCATGGACTGCAGAGTGATGAGCAAGTCCTTATGGGCACCCAGATTCTCGACCACAAACGGGGGAGGGTGAAAAATGTACGACCTCAAGGCCCCCGCAAAATCACCTCCACAGTTCTTGGCCTTTTGGGGATGGTACGAAATATACACCTTGCAGTCCAAGATGCGATTATACAGCCACCTGACAGAGCACAGAAAGGGGTGTCTAAGAGGTTCCTTATCCTTCGAAAAAACAGGCTTCCACACAAGCTGTGGGCCCTTGCCTCTCGCACCCCAAACTGGCAGAACCGATTGCGTGGCGTTTGCCACCTCCACTTCAGCAAGGTTGGCCCACCACTTGTAAGTAAGATTGAGCAGCCTTTGAGTTTCGGCCCCCCTCCCCGCCCTGGCAGCTACCAGAGCCGCTTCCAGCACATCGAGAACAGGCCCCCAAGACGGGGGTTCCCGAGTGGGCCCGATGGCCCTTTGGGGGGGAAGGGGGGGAGGTTTACGAAATTCCAAAACGTTGAGTTGAGCAGGCGAGGGGAAAAGCTCCAGATCCACAGGGGAGTGGGGGGTGAGAGGGGAATTGTAGTTAACACTCACCTTACTGATAACCTTCGCGATGCCTGCAGAGACGACAAAGAAATCCGAGACTTTGAGGCCCCCCGTGCTGCGGAGCGTGTAGCCTCCGTCTGTCGGGGTGATCATCTGGCCTTTGAACTCCGAAACGAAATGCGACTTCTGAAACTCACCTGGAGTCATGTTGAAGTCGCCTCCCGCGATGACGGGGAGATCTGAATGTGAAAGTCCGGCTCCGAGACGCGACAAGATCTCCACGTTGCGCTCAGAAAGACCTTCGACGTCGTGAAGGTAGATCGATCCGACAAGGACCTGAAAACCTCCTGGAAAATCTATAACACAAGCTCCAGCACGATGAGGGGACAGTACGAAGCCCGACGACAACGTGTGAAGCCCGAGGTACGATCTAGCAATAACAGCAACTCCTCCTGAAGACCCAGTGCCCTCCCCACGAGCGGCCGCCGCCCAACACGACTTCCACCCACGACGAAAGAGCCATTCTGAGGCCTTGGAGATGTCTTCCTCTGAGCACAAGTGATGTTCTTGAACTAACAATACGTGTGCCGTGGTCATTGGCAGCCACTTGTTCTTAAGTGACTGCCATCCTGAAACATTGCAAGTCTGAACACATAGCTCGAAATTCTCCAAATCAGGCGGAGGAGGGGGCTGGAGAGAGCCTTCTACAAGCACTCCCGCGGCCGCATCCTGGCTGAGGAGGGGAGACGAGCCAGCCGACATCAGCTGAGGTAGGCTAGGAAGGAGTCCGAGGAGCAGGGGCCTCGGCAGGAGTGGCAGCAACCGTCCTGGCCCTCTTGGCCGCTGCCTCGATGAAAGTCGAGACGCGCTGCCTCGATTCACTCGAGACTTCCTCCGACTGTGCCTGCTGCCACTCACGTAAAAAATTCTGGAAAGCTTCTGAATCCGCAGCCTCGACCTGAGGCATTGCTTCATCAGGGTGAGCAGATTCACCCGTCCCCACCCCAGCCTCGCCACCCGTCCCCCCACCACTGTCAGAAGCAGCAGGAGCAGCTCCACTGCCTGAAGCCTGCCTCTGGGCGACGGATTGGCAGCTGGTCTTAAGCTTGGCCCAGCCCTCACGAATGGCGGCCAGGTCGCCAGACTCCAGCACGCTGTCGAAGTTGGACAAATGCCCCTGGAGCTCCGCCTGCGGCGGGGGCGGGAGGTCGGCCACCTTGGCCGCCAGCTCCAGGTACCTCGCCTTGAGCTGCACCTGCTGGGTTGCGGCCTCCGCCCTCTTCTCTTTGAGCTCCGCGAGGCGCGACTCGGTGTCTGCAATCTGGGAGTCCAGCGAGTTGAGAGCGCGAACATTCTTGTCAAGAGCCTGCTGAGCCTCGGAAGCCTGCTGCCGAAGGGGACGAGCTTCTGACTGCTGGGAACGAATAGCAGACGTCGACGCCGCGATGGAGCTGGCCACCGCTGCACGCTCTGGGAAGTCATCCTTGAGCTGGCCCATGAGCAACTGAAGCTGGGCGAGGAGCGAAGACGGATCTGCTGGATGGGCCAGAGCGCCTCCACGACCGCCTGGTCCGCCCCCGACGCCGCCGCCTCCGCCACCCCCAAGCCCGCCTTTGCCACGTCCACCTTTGGGTCCTTGACCTTTGTGAAATCCTTTGGGGCCAGGAACTGCTGGACCACTTTGCCACACACCCCCAGGATCACGTGGAGCGCCAGGAGAAACATGCGGAATGGGAGCCCAACAAGTCGCACACCATTTATACCACGGTTTGTTGCACTTCGCAGCACCACACGAGAGACATTTCGCACCGATGACCTCATGCTGCTTCGGTCCCATGGGAGACGCTGCGAAAGAGTGCTGACTGTCTGAACGAGCCACTTGACCCGCTAGCGCAGTGTGCCGTTCTGAAGTATACGCTAGCAAGCCCAAAAAACTTGGGCCAGAACGGCTAAGGGAGGAGGAGGAGGAGAAGGAGGAGGGGGAGGGGAGGAGGAGGAGGAGGAGGAGGAGGAGGAGGAGGAGGAGGAGGGGGAGGAGGAGGAGACCTCGGCCCATCGTTTTTAGGCTCCTCCTCCTCCTCACCCCCCTCCTCCTCTTGCTCCTCCTCCTTTTCTTACCATCGCTGACGTCCACTCGCCGTACCTGTTTCGGTGCCGTGCCTGCATTTTCCCAGGATGGCCACAGATGCTCCAGGACGGCCCAGATTTCACGGCGCTGGTCTCGCCAGAACAAACATGCACACGTCCGAGCGATGTCAAGCTTGGGGTCCCGATCGGCCTCGCCAGACCACTGTTAAGTCGGGCATGTCCCCCTACAGGCGCATTTGGGATGAAACATGCAAACTGGCAGACACATGCTCTAATAATGATCGAAAGCCCCAGAAATCGTCCCCAGGTGAGTTTTTGTTTACTTGTTTGAATCTTCCTCCTGTAGAGGGACAGGCCCGACATAAGACCACTGTTACCAGTTTGAAACATATTCCTATACCTATGATTCACAGCACCTCACCTCGATGCCAATCTTAAGGATTCCCTCAGTTTCTGAGGGCCTATCCCTGAGATTGTCCTCGCGTCTTGCTCGCCCATCTTAGGGACAGGGATAAGTTCGAGGCTGGTTACACTGGCCAGCGTGCTCGCGGATCCTCCGCAGGGCCGTGGCCGCGCGGCGCGCGCCTCCCCGCGGGCTCCACGTGCAGCGACAGCCGGCCGACGACGGGCACCTGCGCACCGGGGCCAATCACGCACGCCGCGGGCGCGCGGGCGCGCGGGAGGCCACGCCGAGGGCTCACAGAGACTACGGCGCGCGCTGAGGGGCCGCCTCCTCCTTTTCGGCCGACGTTCGACCAACTATAAGAGGCAAGTCTTCGCCTCCCCCTCCTCCAACTCCTCCTCCTCCTCCTCCTCCTCCTCCTCCTCCTGCTCCTCCTAATTTTTCTACGTTGGACATGCGTTGGCTTGCTCGAGCCGTCACGTCTTTCCTCCTCCTCCTCCTCCTCCTCCTCCTCCTCCACGCGGCCCGAGGCCCGTCTCGCCAGCTTGAAGGCCGGCAGCCTGAAGCGCGCGAGAGGACGCAAGAACTGCACAAGCAGAACGTCTTGGAGCTCCGCGCGGCTTTCGTGGATCTGCGCGGGACTCCCCTGGCGGCGCCGCTCCCCGCGCGCTCCGCGCGCCAACGAGGCGGGGGGGGGGGCAACGCAGATGCAAGAACTCCGCACGGGCTTCTGTTTGTGCAGTTCCTCCTTCTTCGGCCGGCGCGCGCTGAGGGGCTGAGATGACGATGGCCGAACCAGTGTCTGCTGGCGGCGCGCCCAGCGCCGTCCGCGGCGGCAGCAGGAGCGACAGCCGACCGAAGCCGACGGCGAGGCCGAGGCCGGCCGAAGCCGGCGGGCCGCGCAGCGGACGGGGAGGGCGCAGCGGCGCAGCAACGGCACCGACCACCGACCCACCGAGCCAGACCGACCCGACGCAGATCGACTGCGGCGCAGCCGAGCCGACGGCGTCGCGGACGCCGTCCGGCCACGACGCGGCGGACACGACGGCGGCGGCGGCGGAGGCCGCTGCGGCGTCGACGCGGCCGTGCACCACCCTCGAGCCGCCAGCCGCGAGCCCTGCTGTCCTCTCCTCCCTCCCGCGGCGGCGGCGGGCGAGGGCTCGAGGCGGGAGCACTCCGGGAGGAGCAGGCGAGCCGAGCGAGGCATAAAAGCCTGCAGGCGTTCGCGGAAGTCCGCGCGGTGCGCTCGGGTCGGCGCTGGGGACGCCCCTCCCCGGCGCACCCTTCGGCGAGGAGTGTGCGGGGTCAACTCCTGGGGGCCCCCCATAATTGCCATCTTGTCGGCGATTGCGAGTCGACGCCGCTCGACGCTCACCGACGCTGAATCGACGCGAGCCGACGCAACATCGGCGCTACCCCATCGACTCCCAGACGCTAGTCGACGCTGGAGACGGCATTGGCAGGGTACGCCGGGCTCCCATGATCCCCGGCATCGCTCGGACGTCCATTCCCTGTATTTTTTTCGGTTTCGTGCGTGTTTTTTCGCCAAATGATCGAGGATGCTCCTCGATGGCCCTCGCCGAAGGAAAAATGCACACGTCCGAGCGATGAATGGGCGAGCGATTGGGGGCCGCAGCCCCCCCCTCCGTCGGAGACCTGGCCCCTCTTCCCCTCCGCCCCTCCTTCTTTCGGGTCGGGCGCAAGGGGGGGATAATTAACAAAGGGGGGGTCTGAGAATCAGCTCACGCAGCTGATGTTCCCGGCGCCTCCCGCTGGAGGCGGCGTTGCATCGAGGAACGGGCCCCTCGGCGAGGCCGAAACCAGCTGCACGCAGCAAACTTCGTGACCCCCCCTTTCCCAATCCCCCCTGTCGTCCGGCCCGAAGGAGGAGGAGAGGAGGAGGAGGGGGAGGAGGGGGAGAAGGAGGAGGAGGAGGAGGAGGAGGAGGAGGTGGTGGAGGAGGAAGAGGAGGTGGTGGAGGAGGAGGAGGAGGATGAGGAGGAGGAGGAGGAGGAGGAGGAGGAGGAGGGAGGAGGGAGGAGGGAGGAGGGAGGAGGAGGAGGGGAGGCAGGAGGGAGGAGGGAGCTCGGGCACCCCCCGTTGCCGCCGCCTGCCGCCGCCGGCCGCCGGGGCGCCCCGCCTGCGACGCGACCTCCACGAAGTTGGCGAGGGTCACCTGCGAGACGGCGCGAGCGGCCGGCGCGCACTGCTGGGGGGCTGGCCAGAGGGGCCCAGGGACACAGGCAACAGAGGCACAGCTCCCAGGACGCACCACACTTTCCCACAGCTTCTGGGTTCTCGTCGTCCCCCCACTCCCCAGAGTTTCCCACATGTTCCTGGGAGTCGACGATTAAGTGTGTCTATGTGTCTGTTCCCTCCTGACTGGCGCAAGTTGGGCGTGGCCTCCAGAGAAAGCGGGGGGGTCGCCTCGTGGGAGTTCCGTCGTCCCCCCCACTCCCCACAGTTTCCCACATGCTCCTGGGAGTCGGCGAGGAAGTGTGTTTGTGCGTCTGTTCCCTCCTGACTGGCGCAAGTTGGGCCTGGCCTCTGGGGAAAGCGGGGGGACCTCGTGGAAGTTTCGTCGTCCCCCACACTCCCCACAGTTTCCCACATGTTCCTGGGAGTCGTCGAGTAAGTGTGTCTGTTCGTCTGTTCCCTCCTGGCTGGCGCAAGTTGGGCGTGGCCTCCGGAGAAAGCGGGGTAGTTTCCCACATGCTCCTGGGAGTCGACGAGTAAGTGTGTCTGTGCGTCTGCTCCCTCCTGACTGGCTCAAGTTGGGCGTGGCCTCCAGAGAAAGCGGGGGGGTCGCCTCGTGGGAGTTCCGTCGTCCCTCCCACTCCCCACAGTTTCCCACATGCTCCTGGGAGTCGGCGAGGAAGTGTGCTTGTGCGTCTGTTCCCTCCTGACTGGCGTGGCCTCCGGAGAACGCGGGGGGGGCCCTCGTGGGAGGCAGCGCCGGGGCCCCGCCGACGGGCACCGGGCCCGACGGGCCAGGGGCCCGGCGCGGACGCGCCCGAGGAAGCTGCAGCCGTGGCCCGAGGTACAATCCGTCCGCATCTTAGGGACGCACGAGGAGGACGAGGAAGAGCAGGAGGAGGAGGAGGCCCAGGAGGAGGAGGAGGAGGCCCAGGAGGAGGAGGAGGAGGAGGAGGAGGAGGAGGAGGAGGAGAGGAGGAGGGAGAGGAGGGAGAGAGGAGGAGAGGAGGAGAGGAGGGAGGAGGAGGAGGAGAGGAGGAGGAGGAGGAGAGGAGAGGAGGAGGGAGGAGGAGAGGAGGAGAGGAGGAGGAGGAGGAGGAGGAGGAGGAGGAGGAGGAGGAGGAGGGAGATGCAAGGGCCATGTCGAGGCTGTTCGAGCGGGGCGCGGCCCGCGAGAGTGGCCAAGAACGGACCGGGGATGCAAGGGTGCCATGGGTACCCTTGGGAAGGTTGCCCCTCCCTATCATGCGGGCTGACTGCGATTGCTTCCCCCTCTCCGCTTTCTCCAGCTGGATCTGGCAGGGCCTGGGCTTGCAGAGTCCTGGCCCCTGGGGCTCCAACAGCGGCTTTCTCAGATCGGCCCGGAAAGGTGCAGGAAGAGAACTCTTGGGGGCCCGGGTGGCTTCTGGGAAGCCCCCTGCCTCCGCATAATATACCCCCGCCGTCTGCCCCACTCGCGCCACCCCCCTCGTGCGCGCCGCTGGGAGGAAGCTGCAAGGGCGAGCGACGAAGAGGACCCTTCACTTTTCGGCCTCGTGTGTTCATCTCTTCGCAGGGAGAGCCCAAAATCGAATCGGTAAGTCGGATCGGCGATCAAAATGGATCGGATCGGCGGGAATCGGCAGCCGAGTCGGGAAAAATCAAATCGGCGGAAATCGGCAGACCAGTAAGGCCTCCACTGAGAAATCGGAGCCCCGATCGGAATCCGAAGCCGCACCGAATCGAAATCGGCATCCATCGAAACAGAATCGAATCGAATCGGGGGAATCGAAATGAGCCCCAAACAAAGAAGCTAGAACCCCAAAAAACAAAGGGGGAATCGAAATGAGCCATCGCTGGACGGTACAACCAAAAAAAAGCTTCCGAGCGATGCCGAGCAGAAGCGCCGTGCACGTCGCGGCAAGCCGCCGGTGTGGCACGCCACGGGCCGCCGGAGAGCGCGAAGCGCCACGGGCCCCGGAGGGCGAGTCCCCCCCCCCCGCCTGGCAGGAGCTCCGCGAGAGCCGCTCCCCCTCCTCCTTCTCCTCCTTCTCCTCCTCCTCCTCCTCCTCACCCTTCAATACTCGTCAAACATGAACTTTTGCGGTGTTTGTGTGTTCGGTTCTTGCGTGATGGGCGCTGCTTCAAGGCTGGCATGAGATGTTCGGCCCAGACGCAGGGGTGTTCGGGATCTGGCAGTGCCCTCACAGCATCGGAGAACGCGTTTTCTGACAGGTGCCCGAACGATCGAGCGCTTCGAGTTTGAACAGCGCTTCAACTCATTTTTGACGAGGCTTGTGGAATCAGACGGCGTAAAGACAAACTTCTGGAGCTCCGCGCGGAGTTCTTGGGTGCCGGAGGCGCCGCCGGAGGGGGCCCAGGGCGGGTCCAAGAAATCCATTCGGGTCGCCAAACGTTGATGTTCATGGCGTTGTTGCTTCTTCGACACCCCCAGCCGAGCGATGCAGGAAGCATGCGGTGGCCTGACAGCGGAGGCCAGTCCACAAGAGACCTCCCACAAGAGACCCGACCCCGAGACCCCAGGGGCGTCCCTTGAGTTTGGGTTTGGGAGCGGCGCGCGTTCCATCGCAAAACCATCGGGGATGGAAAGAACCCCCTTTAGTAAAACGTGGATTAGTGAAAACGACCTCGGGCCCCAACCTGGCGGGCGCAAGCCTGGAAAAGGACGGCCGCGGCGTCCTCTCGAGAACCGACAACGGACAATGCAATCATCGACGTGTCAGGGTGGGGGGGCCTGGCCACCCCCGAAGCCATCGAAACCCGGGAGGCCCCGAGCAGTCGCGATGGGGAGCGATACAATCGGGCTTGATTGGAGAGGACACGCGAGAGGACACGAGACCCTCTCGAGGGCCACATCGCCACGAGGATGTACGAAGCATGGGTCGCGAGACACAGGACACAAGGGTACCCTTGATCTGGCAGGGTCGACCTGCTAACCCGGGCCGCCTGTAGTCTGTTCGGCGTTTCGGCCTGGGGCGGAGGGGGGGAGGGGGGGTCTGGCTCTGGACCTCTGCGGAGTGCGAGTGTTTGCACCGGCGCGTCCCGTGGGGGAGGCCCCACCTGCCTGAGGCAGGAGCCGAAAACAGCCGAGCACTACTCCATGGGGGGGGGCGGTGCGAGGGCCCGCGCCGATCGGCAAAACAAGGAATGAGAAAACGATCACATCGGGGGGGATGTGCGAAGGGGGGAAACATTGACCTGGAAGCAGCGATACACCGCCGACAGCTTGGCCACAAGCCCCCCAAAGTGAAGCCGAACGTTCCTGGGCGGGGAGGGCTGCCCGGCCTGTATCGGCGAGGACTCGTTGTTTGGGGGTCGATGCATCCACCCCGGAGACTATCCCCGCCGAGTGAGCCTCGTGTTCTGGTTTTTGGGTGATACCTCGGGTCTTCGGCGGCCGCTCGGGAGGATCCGTGCACCCCCCGAGCTTTCGGCGCGAAGCTCAGCTGCTGGAGCCCATCACAATCCGAGATCCAATGAACATGTCCGAACAGAAATCCAAACCCGAGTCCGAAAGAAACATCCCCACTGAGCGCATCCCTCCCCAACGTTGCCCCTGACTGCCGCGCGGGCCACGCGGGGACGGGCTTCCGGGCCTGTGCCGGCGGTGGATGGGCTTCTGGGGATCGATGCGCTCCCCACTGAACGTGCCCGCCGCTAACGCTGCCCCTGACTTTCATCCTACCGCAGAGCGAGGCCGGGCGGGGAGGTCGATCGGGCCCACACCATGGGTCGGCTTCCAGAGATCGATGCGTCCCCTCCCGAGCCTATATGAGGGCGCTGGGTAAGAACGGTTCGAGAAGAAATCCAGGGCCTGGATGCCAGTGGAGCTGCAATCGTGGAATTGCCATTCGTATCACAACCGTCCTCGTGCGATGAGGAACCCTCCGAGGCCTGAAACTTCCTGGGTACACTCCTCAACCGGCGCCCCCACCGTGCCCCGCCTAGCTCGGACCAGGTGGGTGAGGTCCTCTGGACTCTGGCGTGTCTGGACACATGCAATGCGAGACGGATAGAGAAGGACGAGGACGAGGACGAGGACGAAGAAGGACGAGGACGAGGACGAGAAGGACGAGGACGAGGACGAGGACGAGGAGAAGGACGCTAAGAGGTACCCATACCGCCACTCCCCAAAAATCTCTCCTGGGGTGCGCTCCGACCGGCACTCCGAGGCGACTCCGGCCGTGGCGACGGAGGCCTCCGGGGAGACCCCGCACCACGGAAACGAGGCAAGGGCACCTGTACGGGTACCTTCGGGGATGGACAGACCTCCCTTTAGTAAAACGTGGTTTAGTGAAAACGACCTGAGGCCCAAACCTGGCGGGCGCAAGCCTGCAAAATAACGGCCGCGGCGCCCTCTCGAGAACCGAAAACGGACAAGTCACTAATCGACGTGTCACTGTTGGGGGTTCTGTCCACCTCCGGTACCTTTCCCAGAGGTGCAAAACTCGGGCGTTGGCAGAACTGGGTTTCGTGGAACCCGCTTTAGTGATTTGTGCCGGGGGCGCCACCCCGTCCCATCGCCACTCACCGGCACTGCCGTCACCCGAAAAACACCAGCTACGGCAAACCTGGTTTAGTGAATCTGGCCAGTTGAGGGGCCCCAAGGCCCCACCACTAACTGGGCCCCCTTACCCAGGGTCCTGGCTATACCCGACAAGCACGGCCTAAGCAGTATTTGCTGAAGGTCCGCGCGGATTTCTTGGCTCCGACCTGGACCCCCCTCCCCAGCGCGCGAAGAGCGCGCCAGGGGCGGCGCCAGTCCAGCGCGGGCCCAAAACTCCGCGCGGAGCGCCGGGCGTTTACGTCTGCGGCGTGTTTTGTCTTCTTCGATGTTCCTGCTCTGAGGTTGCCAGTCCGTGCAAACTTCTCGCATCGGCGCTGGACCCCAGGTGGGCCCCTGGTGCGCTCCCGGGGCGGTGCCAGAGACGCCGCCAGGGGGCCTCGGCACCGGTCCGAGACATCGCTTCGGGCCTTCGG